AGGCTTGAAAATCGATTTCAGTTTTGGACAGCTTTTAGAGAAGACAGTTCATAACATATTTATTCTTAAAACAAACATCGAGCTGTGAATACGGAAAAGCTGTTTGAAAATAATATAAAATAAAGTTACCTTTTAAATAGTAAAGTAAACAAAAGCGTGCAATGTCGCTTTTTGACAATCCCGACCAACTGCGACAGCTGCAAAATTTGTTAAATCCGAGTCGAAGACGAGGTGGAATCGAAGGCAGCAGCAGCAGCGAGGATGAGGAGGAATCGCTGGTGGTTAATAAGCAGAGTGAGTAAATGGCAGCTGGAGTACAGCAGTATCGCAGTATCTGAGAGGATTCGTATATCCAATCAGCACCTGGTAGCATTGGACCCCAGGCAGCTGGTGCTGGTGCCTCCAAGGCACGCGGCAAGAAAAAGGTTAACCTGGTGGCAACGCCGCTGGAGGAACCTCCTAAACCGCAGCCCAGCACGCTTGAGGAATGGCAGGAAGCGCAGGAGCGAGAGGATGCGGACATTTTGGAAACACGCAAGTACCCAGAATACACGATGACCTATCGCCAGGCCGTTGGCACCGAGGATGTCTTCCTGCAGGTTGGCACGCACCCCTACGCCCCGCTCAGCCACGTTAAGCTGTATTCCTTTCACATTTAGATGGGCCAACGCACAGCAGCCTCGGCGAGCTGTGAGGATCTTGTACTCGACATATCTCTGCCCGATGAGGAAATGACTGCGGATAAAATGAGCCTTAAGCTGCAGGAAAAGGAACTGGACCTGGGCACAACTCTATACAGGCTGAAGCTGCCGCTGCCTCACGCCGTGGACGTGGATCGCTGCCAAGCCAAATACGACAAGGAACTGTGCAAGCTGCGACTCACGCTGCGATTGCGCAGGGAGCTAGACTATGTCAATTTTTAAACCCTAAAGTATTTAAACTTCGCCTAAAACACGCCTTACACTGATTTTGCACTACATAACATTGTTTTGCTTGTGCACACCAACTGCCAGAATGACACACACACACCAAATTTGTAGTATTCCTATAATTCGGCCTCGGATGCAAATTTTAAGTACGATAAAAATGACCCACTTGTGTGGGATAAGAAACATAGTTGTATTACATTCATTGCCGAGTTCAGCAAATTGGATAAAGGATGAAATACTTGAAACAATTACAATGTAAGCAGCGAAAGGAAAAAAAGTACCTTTTAAAAGCAACAGCTTTCAGATATATGTAGGTCTATTCAGATATAAATAAGAAAATGAGTATCCAGTTGTCTAACGCCGAAGGCTCATATCACATGCCAAATTACGCATACGCCGCATTGACCCGCAGTTGAACATATATGTATTACGCTTAAACGAAACATTAGATATGCCTTCGGTTGAAATGTAAGAGCACTAAGTAGGTGCATGCCCTGGTGTCAAAAATCACTTGAGCTTAATATTTGTCAAATGCGGAGAATATGCGACGGACAAATGTCAAATATAAAATTAACATCTTTCGAAATTGAAAAAAGAAAACACAGAAACGGCATGGTGATACCCTGTACCCACACTCGGTGCAAAAGTCATATACTACTTTCTAGTTATACTTTCTTTACTCCAAGCCTTGCAATAATACCAAATATCTATTTACTTAAAAGTGAAAGCTAAATAGGCCAGCTCTGACTAGGCGATTCCTTGTACCTAGCTCAGAGCTTGACTAAATTTGGTTTCTATCATACCCAAGCTTAGGCATGCTGTCAGCACAGGGTAACATAATCAAAAGCGGCCATTCTTTTCAACATTTTTTGTTAGGGATTTGTTCAACATAATACATCGAGGTGGAGAGAGAGAGAGAGCGGCGAGGGGGAAGAGCTGCGACCCGCTGTGACTGCGGCTTGGCTGTGCCTCATTTACTCTCGACTGCCGCGGACACATTTCAATTTGTGAAAGGCGGTCAGCGACAGCACTGAGACATGATAAAGTGTCGTCGTCCAGGCAGTTGTCGAAAAAAAGTTCACACAATTTGACATAGAAATTCGTCGGCAAAGAATGATAAAGGCACAACTTTTGGGCCAGACGAAGATGCGCGTGCAACGCGTTGCAAGTAGTTGTGTGCTTAAGAGCTTGGACAGTGGATTTTTGTTTTTTAGTCATTTGGTCGACAAAAAGTTTTTCGGGCGTTGATAATAATAAATCATCAAAAGGCGACTTCGACACTGACGGCATGCGACAACTTTTTGGGCTTGAGCAAATTAAATTAAAATTAAATTCAATTTAATGACCACGAAATAAGCTGTCAGCTGAGTGTGTGTGTGTCTGTGCCAGACATTCTGTTGAAGAATATTAATAACCATTTAGATAAGTTTCGTGTGCCATAAATATGGTAATAAATATATCAAATTAAACACATTATTACCTGCTGTGCTCAGTTAAATATACGATTTACCTGTTGTTGCTGCTGTTGTAGACAGCAAAACTTTCAAAATTTCATTACAACAAAAGGCTGTTGAAGAAGGGAGAAGCAGAGGCTGCTGAAAAAAAGTGCTTCTCCCTTCTACTCTTTCTCTATATTTGAACAACTTACATGCGTTCAATCAAGTTTGTCAGCAACTGAAACATGGCCGGAAACTGCGCAGACTGTGTGGAAAAACGTATCATTTGCAAAAGTAAAAACAAACAAAAATAGCTGCGTTGACACTAGACTTGGAAGAGCAAACAATGCTTTTTGTTTGGGAGAAAATGCTAGGAAAAAACAAAAAACCAACGCAAATTTGCCACAGAAAATATGCATACAACATTTTGACTATTTATGCACCTAAAAAGGGTATTTCAATATTTTAGTTAAATGCGCAACACTTTTTTTGACTGCACTTAGTAGAAATATAAAACCTTTGTATTATGTATTACGAACCGGGAAAGGCTATTCAACTATTTAGTTTTTATATTTAATATATTTTCATTTATTTTAATAATTACCTGACATGCTGTTACTGTTATCTACCAACTTTTAGCAGAGTGAGGATCGGGGGGTTAACAGATTAATGGGTCGAACGTATGAAGGATAATATTTGTTGTTAATTGCGCTTCGTCCACATATTTATATTAGATTATGTCGCACTACTACCACAGATAAAACCTAGTTTGTTAGGGCATTTAATCGTCAGCATGCGGATGAAAACATTTCTGTTTTGATTTTTGTTGTCTTTGTTTTTTCTACTCATTTTCACAAACGCAGTTTTAGTCGTAATCATCATCATCATCGTCATGGGCCTCCTTCATGTGCTCATGGCAAACACTAAATTGTGGAGCTGGCTTTTTTGTTGGGTCACACCCTTTTTTTTATCAACTCTTGGAAAAGTTGCATCAACTCAAACAAAAATTCGCATGCAAATTCGCAATGTGTCTCCCATGTGCAATGCCAACTTTTGTGGTGTGTATAAATTTGCTTGCTCAAAAAAAATAAATAGATGACAAAAACTTTTGCCAGTGGAAAACTTTTGGAAAATGTGAAAAAACTGCTCGCTGTAATATGTGTGTGCGTTCACTTCTTAAAACTGCAAAATATTTATGGCTGATTAAAAGAGGCAGTTGCCGGATGCCGAGCGACCTTGGTTACCTTCTGAAGTACAAGTTATTGTTGATGTTGTTGTTGTTGTTTAACCACGATAAATAAATAATATGCAGGTGCACTTAAAAAATGTAATAAGCCACACAACAACAACAGTAACAACAACAACAGGTACGAGAGGAACGACAACAGATTTTAATTGTGAAAGCTCAGCCGCTGACAAAGGTCGTGCCAAACCGTATCCGGCCCGTCGTTGCTCGACTTTTATTCATACCATTTCAAAGCCCGGACTCGAGACTCAGGAGTGGGGCAACATCCACTTAACCTGCAAAACGGACGAACAGCTCTGAAGAACTCAGCCAAAGAGCAGGTGCGAAATGAGCAGCAGCCATGAATGAGGGCAACAAAACAAGGGGGCTGCAAATAACTTCAATATGAAATGTGTTGGAAAAATGCAAGTCAGTTGAGTGAATGTTGAAGAGCTGCCTGAACTGAGTTGTGGCACTCGTCGCTTTAAGCAACACAAATAAATGGCCGGCTTATATCCGGCATATATCTGAGATACATGTTCTTTGGTTTGGACTGTAACCGATCGAATATTTCTTTATATGAGTATATATGAGTATATCTCATGAAAAATCTGGCTGCAACTATATATATATCTCAGTACAAAAGATAAGACTTGCAAATAAGAGACAGTGGAAAAATCGTAATATGCTTACGAATATAAATTACTGCGTTTTCCAGCCACTTGTCACAGTCGGAAAAGCCAATTAAGGGCTTCATTTAATCTAGCAGAAAAACAGAACGGTCGGAAGATAAGCTGACTTAAATATTTTATTTAATGTAATGAAATGTCGCGGCAAATTGGTCAGATGCAAATTTTAGCAAGCGACTTTCAGTAATATAATAAAAATGCCATTTTTTTTAAGGACCAGAAAAAACATTTTCATGTCGATACTTTTTAAGGTTTAAAATGAAAGGAAATAATTTCGAAAACAGATCCTGCTTAAATAGGTACTTAAAATGCATTTGATATATTGATAGAGAACATTTAAACTATCAGATTATTTTTACTTACAATTTTCCAAAGTTGAAAACATTTAGCAATACATATGCGTACAATTGGCAGCCCGATTCTTATCCTTTTCATTCTGTACAATAATATATGTACTTGTGTGTTTCGGCTGGCTTATAATATAAAGGATAGAAGCTGCTGTGCAAGCATGGCGAATGTGGGTTTTAATATACAATTTGGCAAATTCACAATTGTTTCTAAGAAATTAAGTGTGGCAACGAATTTATTAAATGGAGCAAACACAATGCAAAAGTATGTATATCACGTGTGCCATATGCCATGGTATAAAGAAAATAAGAACATTGTGGAATTTAATTAAAGCTTCCTTATGCCTTTTGCAGTCTACGAGCTAGTTGGTCTATTAACGCATTTTTCAAGTTTAATTTAACGTAATAACAAATTTCTGAGCTCCAGCGGCTGGAGATACAAACATGAACAGAGACTGGCACTCCGACAGCCGTATAAATTACGGAAGAGTCTGAGCAGCAGCTGGCTAAAAGCAAACCAAATGCCGGGCAACTTAGGCACAAGCAGGCGGCATGTGTTGTCCATATGTATGCCGCCAGTTACTAGGGCCTTATATAAGACACGCACGGGGCCTTGGGTTTCGTTCTCAAGTGGCAGCCGCGCTGGCAGCCCCTGCCCCATAATTAAGACAAATGTAAAAACTACTAAAAGACATGCCAAAAGTCACTTTCACTTACCAAACAAAAGGCGAGCAGCCAGCCAGGTGCCATCTGCCAGGTGCCAGGTGCCAGTTATATTTACCTCTTGTTTTGTTATAAGTCAACATAATTTCACGTTACATTCCCGCTTTTACCCCTCTGTTGACACACGGCATTTTTGTTTACCTTCGTGATAATGTCACGTGTCTGAAGACCAAAAACATTTCAGACACATAAGCGAGAAGGAAACGTTTTTATTTAGAGTGTCGAAGATTAAATACCTTTGCGGACATGTTGATTAAAGTATAAAGGTTGTAAATTAAAGGGTGTTTAAAAAGATCAGGAAGCCCACGGCTCTATCAACAGCTGTCTATGCCAATTGTCATACTTGTACCAAAAAAGTAATATTTATTTATTTTTCTCGAATGTCTCAAATACGAATATTGCCTGTGCCAAAAACTTACACCTACTCTATAAATATACAGTTCAGGATACTGTTGTACTTTCTGTTAACTCTTAGCTATACTTATACCCAATCGAGGCCGTTTTGCACGCGCAGGGTATATAAAAAGCGAAGGTCAATGTCCAATCCACAGTGAGTGGCCCTCGTTAAATGTTCGCATGACCTTTTCGCATTAATCTCAAGAGATGGCATTTTAATGCAGCCATGTGAGGGCGTGTTATGCTCGTTATAAGCCAAGTAGTTATTATGGTTATTTATTGTGTTGGAACTATACAGCTGTTCAGGCCACATATCACGACTGCTGATTTTGCCGCATTCAATTAGATCGTCAATCAAACGACACGTTATGGGCTTTTAATTGTAATTGATTGACTGAGAGTAGATGAGGAGTGAGTTACTTAGTTACACTTTCCCTTTAGTGTTAGTTTAATAAATAAGGTTGACTATAAAAGCTTTAATCCCGCTGGGTTGACATAAATATAAAATGAAATGTGACCGACTAGAAAAAATGCAAGCTTGTTAAAGTATATTTCGAAATTACAGCTCTTAGCTTAAAGTTAACAAGAAAACATGTAAAATTAGCCCAATGCAGGGCCTACAGTAACAGTAAACACCTCCAAACCGATTTATTTTTAATGACATTTGACAATGAAATGAGAATGCATAAACTACATAATTTATGCAAACTCTACCCACAACTTCCCGATTCACACAAAAATATGTTGCCTACTTATCAGCGCATTGAGATTTTGCTAAATAAAAAAAATAAGCATAAATTGAAATCGATTTTGTGTCGCTTCTGACAGCTACTTTTTTAAAAAAAACTGCAATAAATTCTATTGATATGAAAAATAAATATATATTTTTTATACATATACAAAATGTATAAGAAGTCTTAGACTCTATACATTCTAGTTGGTCGCCAGCCAGTAACTCAGTCAGGCATATACATTTAGTTAATATTATAATTGACGCCTGCAACCAAAATATGTAACACATGAGGAGTTTGCTATTCGTACTCAATTCTTGACAAGAATGACAAGCGAAGTGGATAAAGCCATAAATATTTGTCTGCCAGTTTAAGCGAGCTCTGTTTAAAAGAAATTTTTATGAAACTGGCCACAGATGCATTTCTTGAGTACACATTGTGATAAGATGACTATATAATGCACGAAAACAATTTTTGCATAACAGATTGCAGATTTACTACTTTACTTCTTTCGGAGGCATATGTGCTGGGCTTCAAGTTCACCAGACGAACAAAAAAACTCAAGTAACCGGTTGCTGTCGGTTGCAACCGACTGAGCAACACTCTGTTATATCCATTAAATCACTCAAAACAGTAATCTTGTAACTTTGAAGAAGAAACACGGCTAAGTAATATCGAATTCTACAATTAATAAAAGCAATATTTATAGCTGGATCTTTAGGGGATGTTTTGAGGCGTCTATCTCTTAAAGCTGGCGACTAAATATCGAAGACTCTATGGATTTTCACGCCCCTAATAAGCGCAGCACTATATATTCCAAGGACAGGCAAACCAATATACTCGTTTTTACTTTGAGAATTGAGTATGAAAATGTACGAGCTTGCGGCATATAGGCAAAAGGCAAACCGACAGCAAACATGCATTGAAACTGTTTTTCAAATAGCACGAACCGGGAGATGAATGCTGCATTTCCGCTTTTCGCTTTTCGCTTTTTGGTCTTTGTCTTTTGCGGCGCTGGCGCCTTCTGTGTTGCCTCATGGCACCCACTCCTCCTATCCCCCGCCCACCCCGCCCACTCACAAAGAGAACTTATAGAATCTGATTTCGTTTGCTTTACTCATGGCGAAACTTCAGGCTGCTTTCCTCAATCCACTTTCAGAGATTTATTTGCCTGCCTGGCCCATTAGATCAATTACCCGCTGACTGTGCGGATGTGGATGTGGATGTGGATGAGTGTGTATGGGTGTGTGTGCGTGTGTGTATTAAAATAGCCTTTAATTGATTTCACATAAATTTATGAGTCTTTTGTGTCGCACATACTCTGTATTCGTCAAATGCAATTTGCTGAATGACTTTCTTGTGTATTGTTCTGTTCGTCGGGAACACTCTTTCTAGGCAGGCTCTGCCTTTTGTGCTCTCTGGTAGCTGTCAATGCAAGTATTCTCCGAGCTGATTCTCAGTCAAATCGACATTTTTATAGCGTCAATATCTGTTTGGCTGTAAAAGTTTTTTGTATACAAGTAAATAAGTATCAAATTTGTACATTTTAATAAAACGAAATGGCTGAGGAACCCATTAAACCTGTCCCCGTGCCATCTGTAGACACGGATAGTGAAGAAACTGAATCGTACTGGGATGCGACGGAAAATGAAATTGTGGTGAACAGCGATAGGAAGGATCAACTGCAGCACACCAGCAGTTCAGGAGATGGTGATGGTGACGGTATTAACGTCGGTATCGATAACGGAGATGGCTATGATGATGGCGACGTAGATGGTGGCGGGGATACTGACCTTGTATTTTCAAACACAATAGATATGCCAGAATATCGGGACAAGCTGAAGGTCATACACGATCGAATCACGCGCATTGTGAACCGCATTAGTTTCCTAACCCAAAGTCTCAAGCAGGTGCATCAGGGCCTCAAGAACTACACGAACGAAAGAGCCGAAGAGCAGTCACCTCCAAATATTGAATCGAAGAAGGCTATGGGCGATAATGGGTCCACTCAAACAGATCCACTTATAAAGCCGGAGCTCAACATGCTTGCGGAGCGTACTGGCGACTCTGTGGCCTGCCAGACCATCGAGAATGATCCGTTCGCTGACTAGGCGGGCTAAATCAAATTTTGGATTTGTTATTAGTTTGGTCTTTATTTTATTGTTTTCATTCTTTTTTATCCAGGAAGTTTTAAAAATTATTTAAATGACGTTGGTAACGATAGTTTTAAGCACACGGAAGAACAGCACAATTTAACCTAGAGACTTACATATTTTGAACAATTACGACTAAATTTGCTGTAAAGTAATAAAAATTCAACCTGAAGAGGAACACAAAATATCTTGGAGAGTATTCTATTACCAAGCTATGCAACACTTGTCAAATTGGACAATCAAAAGCCAGCACTAGAACATTTTTAATTTTAAATATAAGTCAAATTCAGCCAGGTTCTATTGGCTCATGCGAATTTTGATTGAGAAGCCAACAATGCGGAAACTCCTGCAAGCCATTGCCAATCGCTGTAGATTTTCATGGGCATTTTGTGAGGAAACTTTGGCCAGCCAACTAACAAATAAGTCAAAATTGCTTCAAAATTTGCATTTGCCTCTGCCAAAAATTTCTTCTCGGGTCAAAGAACTTTATGTTCAGCTGACTGCCATTTTTGACTATGGAAAAGCTTACACAGTCAACAATAGCAAACTGTTTCAGCTAAGAATAACTCAGACATCACATTTTTAATACAGTCAAAGCGCAGCATGTCCAAACTCAAGCTGTGAATAGCATGTTAATTTAAGCGTAAGAAAGGGTTGCACTCAAAGCTGTTAAGTTAGGATATTTAGTTCAGTTATTAATCCACCTATTTTATAGAGCTTTTCTTTGTCAACCTACTATATATGATTACGTACGTATATATGCAGTTAATGTATAGTCCCTGGAGAAACTGTAAGAGCTTACATGCTTCTAATTAAACAAAAACAGAATTAAGATTGGGTAATTATTTTCGACACTATCCTTTGAATTAAGAAGCTCATTTTAGACCAATTTAACAGACAGACTTCCTAGCCGTGCCATTCATCTTTGGATAGATTGAATAACCAATAGTTCAGCGATTGTAGGGAAGCCAAATGGTGTATAATAAACAGAATTTGGATTGATTTAATTATACCACGTCCATGTATGTTGCATGCCTAGCAGGCCAAACCAAGACAAGGGCAAATCTGCGACCCAAAATATAATATATATGTATATTCAATCTAGAAAGCCCGTCTGTTCGCAGTTATATCAAAAATTCTATGGCAACCAGATAACATAATTAACTAAATTGAATTGAGTTATAATGGAAAACAATTTTAAAGCCCTATTACGAAATGTCACAAGATACAAGCACATATCATTTGCTGGCAGTTGTGACATGTCACTCGTCTGAGGACTCTGCTCGAAATATATCGACTACACATCAAACGCAAATTCAAAGTTCAAAGCAACTGTCTGGAACAGGAGGCAAAACTAATAACATTTCTGATAATCACACGCAGAGCACAAAGCGAGAACCAGGACCAAAACCAGAGAAACGCGCATTCATGGAAAAATCAGTTCAATTGAAAACGAAAATGAAATCGAAATTGAAATCAAAATTGAAACTGAAGCAGAAGCAGAAGCTGAAGCTGATGCAAACGAATCACTGATAAGCGGAAACTAACTAAATGAGTTTCAGAGTGAGGAACTGTCCTCAGCACCTACCCAAAGCCGCTTTGTCATTAGGCAAGTCCAGCTCATTGAGAGTGACTAAGTCGGATTAGAGACCTACCCTCCAGCTGCTTCTTCTCTTCTTAGTCTGTCGCTGCTGTTTATGGAAATCAGCCGCAAAATTCCTTTGTCGGATTGCGTACGAAATTAACATTTCAATCAAATCAATTTTATGTGTCTGACTTGTTTTATGCCTCAACAGCAATTTCATCATCATCGCCATCATCATTATAGCTATTATTATTATCATCATCGACATTGTTGGTTCGAAATGTATCATTCAGTTTGTGTGCGTATTTGACGAGCCAAAAGAAATTGTCGAAATTGATTGATTAAATATTTATTCAGACGGAAGTCCTTACAGTATCCTAAGGGGCCAACATATTGAAGACTAAATTGTTGGCGAAATGGCAAACACATTTCTCCTGGCCTGGCTGATGCGTCATTCAATTGGTTATCAAACAGAAAGCTCATCCAAAAGCAACACATAATTCGGAAACAGTTAAGGGAATTTTGCAGCCAGGCTAAAATGTAAACAACAAAAACCAAGCTGTGAATAGGTGGACTCTTAACCAAATGAAACTGTGAAGTAGTGTTTAGCCAATTCAGAAATGCAGCAATTAAAAGTAGATCACAAATTATTTGTGACTAAGATCAAGATTAAGTCAAAAGAGCAGATATCGTCAACCCTGCGCCAAAAAGCCGCAGCAATAATTCCAACAAGCTCGGCTTTACAATCTAAAGTCTAATGATTTCATGCTCTGTTACTCACTGAGATGTCAGACCTTGCTTATAAAATGGAAACTAAACGAATATTAATATCAAATTTAAATTCTTTAGCTCTTATTGTCTCTGAAATGGACGCCTTCAGACAGACAGTTGATCAGACAGACTGACATGGCTGGTTCGATTCATTACGCTGATTAAATCTAATGGAGTCCAATCTATTGAATTCTTTTTTTACCCATATACAATAGGTAGCGGGTATAACAAGAAGAG